AGTCAATATGTAACAATAATCTTAACAATGTCATTCAAATTTAATAGTACTTATACACGCATTATAATAGCAATGAAAATGTTGACAATTTCAATTGCCACGATATGCGGAACACGTTATAAAGTATAAACACGAAGATTTATTTAACGAAACGAAAGAAACAGAATTTCCTCGTTATTTGCACCCTTACTTTATTTCTGTATTTAATTAAATTTCTACACTTTCTCGAGTAGCTAAAACTCTTCTTATTTTTAATATTCCCTCGCAATGTTCATTAAGGACACATGCTACATCCACAATGAGGTCGTGAAAGAACAATACCGCTTTAGAGAGTGTGCCATCTAGCAACTTCGCATTGTAGTAATGGTCGGAGCATTTGAAAACCGAATTTATAACGTGGATTTTATACAAATCCAAATTTTAGCTAAAAATTTATAATATTGGAAATTCGTAATTTCATTTAGCCTTGTTTGGTCCTGACCACTGCATTCGAACGACTCAGAACTGCACGGAATAGCGTTATTCACTGAATAACAGCATTTGGTGCGTTTTCAGCGCAATCGGAATACGGCTTCATCGATTTGTAAGAAAATTTTCGATTTTTTTGCGATAAAATCTGACCACTGCAGCCAAACTTCTCAGAACTGCACGGAATAGCGTTATTCTCAGAATAACATTTACCATGTCTTGAACCTTCAGTCATCGATCGCTTAACAGTTCAATCGTTTCTCCCTACCTTGGGTCCAACAATGTCGGGGTAGTCGAAAGTACTATTCACCACTGACAAGAAATCTTGCCAGACGGTACAGGGCAAGAGAGAATCCTCGTTCGCTCCACCTATCTTCATCTTTAACGCTTCCTTAGCCGAATGTTAAGATTTCTGCTGTCACAGGCTGATATAGCAGTAAGGATTCCCATATTTATTGAGGTTACGAATCATAACTTCACCTTGATATACAAACCTTTGAAATGGAGACTTCACTGTTGTTACGTTTAAAATTATTTAGTACATAAATTAGTGTATATATATTTAGCGCATATTCTCATTATATTAGGAATAGAAATAAAAATTTTGTTAGTATAATTATCTATGCCTATTTTAATGCTTTGAGATTCCTCGTGCATGTTACATAGGTCTCCCGTATATCTTTTCTAATCTTACTACTCTCCTTGTCGCTCAACTTAAATTGTGCGTGTGTGACCACAGTGCTGAGTAATACGCTGAAATCCCATATCTACATGAAATTAAGCATGTCCCTTATGTACCGAACAATGAGACCCGCATTCCTGTCAGGTGCCTTCACAGTGCACAGTATATATTATATTATGTAGAGCTGATAAGTTGGTAAGTGATACGGCATTATGACAGAAACGTTGTTTCACTTGTTCCGTCTTTCCCCACTTTGCCCCATATAGTGCCACACATTGGCATTGTAGTAGGATTGACAGTGAAATATTGTCTCATGGTAGATAGTGTGAAAATCCGTGGATCGTTTGAGGACTATAAATTAGAATTTACATTTTCATTTTGGTTGTTTGGAGACTATAAATTAGAGTTTCAAATTAGAAAATTATTATTATTATTATTCAGCTGTGACATCGGTGCGTGTCTACCTATTATACATCGTATAATTATATATTCATATAAAGATACTGTTTGATTGGCAAATATAAAGAATAAGAGATGTTATTTTATTCTAAAATATATATTTATTGCGAGAAAAATAAGAATAGGAGTAAAGCATGAACTATAAGACTAGACTGATAACTGATCTATGATTACGCAACCGACCGACACTCTCACATCAACTTTCGCTAAATACTCCGTAAAGGACTGTGTCAAGACAGCCCTTGCACCCTTATTTAACTGTATGAGGCCCAAACAGCGCGACCGCGCTATTCAGATTTCGTATCGAGAAGACCCAGCTAATTTCCAGCGTTCTCGACAGCTGACGGTTCGTCACCGGCTTCGAAGTCGAATCACTATCGCGTCACTTGCCATTCATTGCCATAATATAAACGAAGCGCTATCGCGCCGCTTGGGATATCTCGACATAAAATAGAAGAAGCGCCATCGCGCTGCTTGGGTAATGTCGTACCCACTCAGAAGGAGCGCGGTCGCGCTGCTTGAGATACCTCGACAGTGTTTTTTCCAAAACCCTCTGGGACTCAAATAGTTAAAAGCTCCCCTCAGGGTGCCGAAAATATTGCACATCCATCAGTGGAACGTTTTTGTCGTACCTAACCACTTTCACTGATTTTCTTTATGGTATTTCTACACCTAGGTCGTTGATCTCATAGTCTACAATACTGCGCGAGACTCGTAAGGAAGTCAGGTCAAAACTGAGAATAA